ATAAATAATAGTTACTTGCAAACAGAGAGCGCAGTGGCGGAAATCTCGGTGGGGCGGGGGGACGGAAATTTTGATCTATAAAAGGGCTAAAAACAGCCTTTTCGAGTGCAAATGGGGGGAGGGGGTTATCGGAAATTTGAAAGTTTTGTCGGAAATTTAGAAGGCTTCGCCCCCCCGGATAAAGTGAATTTCCGCCACTGAGACAGCGGCTACAAATTGGTCAAGAACGACAATTAAATAGCCTTTTAAAAACAATAAAAAAGATCACTTTATTGATTTTAATTACATTCATTCAAATATTAAATAATTACATTTTAATATACGTTCGTGTAAAGAATAAAAAACATAGTCAAGTAAACAAGTATTGTCGCTGTCAAAGCTGTTGACAGCACTTAATAACTTAAACATGATTAAAAACGATAGTAAACGTGATTAAAAACGTCGCGAGGAAATATTTTTTTAAAAGGACAAAGTAAAATTAAAATATCTTTAATACCTTGGTATCAAAACAGTCAAACAGATACAACTTATGCTGTATTATACTTTGTGCTTTAGGTCTTCGCTTTCTAAGTTAGCAAAGCGTTGTCGTCTCTTTTTTTAATATTAAGTATTGATATATAGCTAGCGTGAACACCAAACGTGATTGGCTGATTTGTGGTCACGTGACTTCAGATAAATGCAATGTTTCCCGCCGGGCAACAAGTGAAAAATTGTTGCCCGCCCCGACCAGCCACGTACATAAATACTGAAAATGGAGGCGCAACTCAGATAATGAGAAACTACGATTTTCCAAGTTTGTGTTCAAATAAATAATATAAAAGAGAAGAAAAATACACAACAGGCAACAGGATATGCTGCTGAAACCGTTTAAGTAGGTTCTTTTAATTTTAAACTCGTTTACACTATAGAGTTTTCGTCACGAAATACAATTGTTGTATGAATGTTGTTGAAGTTGATTTTTGTTCGTTGCTACTAGTTTTGTTTTCCCTCTAATCTTAATGTTTCCCTCGACTTCGTTTCGGGAAACATTGAGATTCTCGGGAAAACAAAACTAACTAATTCCCTCGGGAGCAGACATTAAGTGTATATTGTTTGTATCTTGTCTTTTAATTAAATTAAACTCCGGCGCAACCCACGCAACCTGCGTGAAAATTCCCCGTGTTTCTATCGAGTTATAGAAACACGGGTTTTTTGAGCTTTTGACCAATCAGCGCCCGTGTTTTTAAAAGGCTATTTTATAAAGCTAGACACCTAGCTTTACCACTTGTTGTGAAGTAATTGAATCGACTTGCCTGCGGAAATTAGGATTTTTGCAAGACGAAAGTTAACGCTCAAAAATTTATCATTCTAAGACAAGCGAACTAGCCCGCGTTCAGCGTACAGTGCTATAAAATTTGCTCTGCTATAGACAAAAATAGAAAAATTTAACGGCTACAGAGTTAATAACTATAAAGCGATATAGTCTGCATTTTGGCATTTCGTTATCAATTTTTATGCAATATGACTTGTGGGTGCATTCGTTTTTATATTTGCATCGTATGTTATGGGTCAAGTTATATGCAAGCCAAACTATGTCGTTCAGTACAAACAGGCGCAGGTATTCAGCACGGCTAAATTGGTTACGAACTACTTGTATATAAAGAGTAAATTTGTAATAAGGAGTTTTCGAACCATCTCAAAACATATCTTCAATATCATTGGCTCTTTCAATGGGCTTTTCGATAGACATGCATACAATAACTTTTACATTTTTAATTACTGCGGCGCACAAGCCTGTCAAATTTATAGGTTTCTAGTACATTCTCCCATGCAATAGGGTTTTTCACAAAGTACTTATACCATTCCCATTCATATTCCTCGTTCACATTCCAAGTTCCAATCCCCCATTTCCCCCATTTCCCTGTTCCCTATTTTGGAGATAGTCAAACCAAAGTGGATTTGAGTGGATCATTCAAATATGGCCATCATTAGATAAAGATGGATAGTTTAAGCAAAATTACATAACAGCCAACCGGCTGAATTGCGTAATTTGAATATTGCATGTGTTGGAAAAGTCAATATTAAAGGAGAAGTCAAGTCCGTTCTGCGCATCGGTTCTGCTTATAACAATGTGAGGACCTCTAATGGGTAAATTGCCCAAATTTCGAATGTTTCGAATTTTTTCTGAATATAAACTCTATTTCCTATTCATTTAGGAGCATAGCGAACCAAAATGGTGTTAGATATTCAGACAGTATATCATATTTTAAAAAATACAGCAGTTCAAAATGTAAACAAACCGTTTGTTTACATTACGGACTTGACTTCCCCTTTAAACTATGCAATGATTAATATATTACATTAAGAATACTCATGCTAGGGACTAAAAAAATGTTAAAATTAGAACTTAAGAATGGAAGTCAAATGTTAAAATTAGGTCTTTAAGAACTTTTTCGCACTAACAAGTTAACGACTTAATTTATGCAGAGCACATACCCTTCACTATCCAGTGCTAGTTATGAGTTCTATTTTATAGTTTTATTGTCTGTTTTGCAATAATCGCAGCTCTCGCGGCTTTGCAACAACTAGGAAATCATTTGGTTTAGTGACGAGTTGTGGGGTGGACACTTTAGTAGTTGGTATCTCGGCTCCCTCAGGCAACTCAATCTTGTAACGATGTAATAATATTGAAGCAAACGAAAACATCATTATCTTCGCCAAGGTTTGGCCAGGACATTCTCTACGACCAATGCCAAACGGCATGAATCCGCGCAGTTTGTTCCAGCCGACGAACTTACCGTCCTCATCCAGAAATCTTTCAGGTTTAAATTTCTTCGGTTCTTGCCATTCTCGATTATCCTCATGCACCTTCGAAATATTCAGGCCGACAAATGCTCCTTTAGAAATGTGGTAGCCAGCGATGGTTGTGTCACGAATCGCGTTTGTCCCGAAGAGCGTGGTTATAACTGATACCCTTTCGTCTTCACACAAGGTAGCTTGGAGGTATGGCATCTTTCCAGTTCGGTAGACGATCACGTCCTACTACTGCGTCCAATTCCTCGTGTATTTTACTTTGCACATTGGGATATAAGACGTTGTAAAGAAAAAACCAAGTTAGCCATGTCGAGCTAGTTTCTGATCCCACAGTAACCACATTCAGCATCAAGCCGGGAATGCCACTATCTTTGGAACCAATGTCTTTTCTAGTCTCTTTGGCCAGTTCTTTTTCGTATGCACTGATAAAGCTATCTGTGAGATCTCGTATGATGCCTGGAATGTAGCTTTCCTGGTGGGCTCGATATTCCGGTGGGAAAATATTCTCTCTAATTTGTTGTGCTCGCTTTATTTCCCGAGAAAATTGCGTTGGTAGGTAACAAAGAAACGGACATAACTGATATATTGTATTAAGTAATGCTTGCCTGGTCATAATCGCGGCAAATTCGTTGAGTTCCTTCACAATTGGGTCATCCAGTGCCATCTTCTTCGATGTAAGCCATTCCAAAAGTTGCACAACTATGGAGGATTCGAGAAGATTCTTGGGTGAAAAAGATCTCCCAGGTTTATTTCCGATTTCTTTTATCGCGATGTCAACAGCGTGACCTGCACGGACCGAGGCTCGCTCTATCCCAGCGCCAAAAATGTGCATTGCTGATACGAAAACTTTCCTCTCAAAAAGATATGCGGGTGAGTAATCAGATGAGGCCATATTATGACCCATTATTTCCCCGAAAGGATAGAAAGACTCAGGTGATTTGCCCATAAGATCTTCTTGTCTCCCGGGGGCAAGCTTTGCTTCACGCACTAGCGATGCTGTATTCAAGATGACAGCGTCGTCATTTGGAAAAGTGACTGTGAAAATGTCTCCATATTTCTCAGCTAGTTTACTAAATGGTTTGACAGGATTTGTGGAATTTTTCCAAGGAAGGGGTAGGGAAATGGTCCTGGAGGCATGTTCTTTCTCTTCATGTAGGTAGTGATAAAATACCAGATGAACCAAACGAGAAACAGAGTGACAAAAACCTCCAAAATCATCGTGTAGCTGTAAGAAAAGAGTTTGCATTTTTAATAATGTGGCAATCTGGCACAAACTAGCCGGTCAACTTTGCCTTTCCCGCCTGCGATCCTGTATAAAGGCTTTATGGCTCAGGGCCTTTTTTGAGAATTTTCCGATCGGCGGGGGGGGGAAGCATTTTTTGAAAAGGGACCTTTTTGTGAGATAATATTTTAGGGGGATAGCAATGGTTGAAGGCCACGTGTGGCCGACATACCACACACGAATAGGAGAATAGGGCGTACTCCCCCAGAAACGTTTTAAATTTAAAGCCCGGAAATGCCACTTCCTGCATTCTGAGCATCCAAATTTGCTCTAAGATATATATTAACTATACTTGTATTTGAAATAAAAGTGAAGGAAAAACGCACAAAAAATAAAAAAATATTAACAATAGTAATTTATCATTACTTAAGGGTAGAAAAACGTAACAATTTAAATCGACTTTGTTAAACAAGGACAAAGGATAAAGCCTAAAGTCTTCCGTTTATATTCTTCGCTGGTTTGTTTGTATAAATTTCGGAAAAAGGACTTTTCCTGGGGAGGCAAAATGTGATTTCGTGGAGCGCACAAGGAGGGACTAGGGAGGCATTTGCCCCACAGCTTGTAAGTTATAAAAGGTCCTGTTATGGCTATATTCTTAAAAATTTGATCCCTTCGTTTGCCTGAACTTTCCTGCAATGCCAACTCTATAGCTATGATTTTGTAATCTCTGATATTGCAATTTAATGTGCAGTCAAATTTACTACTCACAAGTACTCGTGATTGGACGTGAAACCATCGTGCCACGACAATGCAACAAACTAGTATCAACACGAAACGACAGTGACGTTATGTTCAAACACCTCGTGTCCCCTGCCTTGCTCAACAATTTTCCGAATGCGTAAATCTGTCAACCCAACGTGCGGTTTGAAATATATAATGAAGACCTTTAGATTTTTTCTTCGACGTTAAACCGCAATCAGTGGTTTGCTGTCAGCCGTCTGTAGTTTGCCGTTTAACACATATTTTGGATTTTGTTTTCAATTCTTTGTACCTTTTAATTTAAAATAATTTCACGTATAGAAGCAATGGCAGATGTACTTTTCAGTTTTCAAATAATTCTGCAGGGTTTTTACGGTTTTCAAAGATATTCGGATACATCTAGCTGTTAAAATAGCATGTCTGTGCGGTATAACACGCAAAATATAAAAAATGCAAAATGTAAAAAATGATGGCCATCTGGAATACACGAAGCACAAGTAGATCTTGAATTTCGGCGTATATTAAAAGTTGCATGGAACACTTAATAATCCCCAACCATAACTTATAGATTTAAAGATCAAAGTAATACCAAATAAACTAAACGATAAAAACGTTGGATAATTCGCTCCCAAAGAAATAAAAGCTTGCGGAAAATGACTTACGGTTGCTCCAGTCGCCAAAAACGTGGAAAGTATACGTCAAACGCAACCGCTAGACAAAGTCAAGTACACGGCAAAAAACGCTCAGGTTGATGCAATACTGATGAAAACAGGATTGAACAATGTTTTGCTGCCCACATTGTTCATAGCTGTCAACAACATTGAACAATATTGTTACACCCGATTCATGCTCAACAGCATTGTTCAATATTGTTGACAAGTGTCAACAACGTGGGCAGCAAAACATTGTTCAGCCCTGTTGAGCAACGGTCTCGGCGTTTTTTGCCGTGTAGTTCACTGGACACTGCGGTTTGCGGTTTAACGTTCGACGTGAAAAGCTAATTAAAATCTAAATGTTTCTAATGGGAATTTGGAAGTTAATGGATTTAAAACGGCTGGGGTGTGACGACACCTTAAAAAATGTACACAATATTCTATCGGAGTGAAGAATGCTAGATTCGGTGAATAATCCAATACACTATTTAAGATCTGACCAGAATTTAAGATCTGATTGAATCTACGGCGTTATAGACCTATGTACGGAACTAGTATGGCATTTTTCGCAAGCGTTTCCGGTTAGTGTATATATAATTATGGTGACTTGAATTACCCATCAAATCCAGAATTCAAGTTCAACCAAATAAAGTGCAATAATATCGTTCAAATTTTCCTTATCACAACCCGCATATTCGAGTGTAGGCCTTTCGTTGGGAAGATAGGACCGTATGACATGGTCTATGGCGAAGGGTCTTCGCTCGATACGCCGATGTTCCGTTTGTATCTTTGAGAGGTAGTCATATCTCTTGTGAAAAAAACAGAGTTGATTGTGGAAACCAACGAATTAAGGGCGTATTAGGACTTAACTGCTAAGAGTATTCCTTTAAAATACTTGACTGGTCTATAGCACCATTTGAAGAGCAATCAGAGATACATATGAGGTATAGATATGAGCAGCAGGCTTCTTCAAACTTCAATAAAAACTTTGTTAGACAGAATTCCAGTTGGTATCTGGCTATATGGATAATATAACAATGCCGGTGTCTTGTTATTATTTGGCTACAAATAAAAATCTTCATTGAATGTCTATGCATGCTTTGATCATTGGCAAACAAATCAAATAAACATCTTACCGTTTCCACAGACAAAACCTGAGGTTGGAGTGTTGGACAAAATGCTAGTTACCCTGATAAATGTACGTCGCGCTAGGATTTTGTAGGGTTGAATGCTTTCAAATTATTTCGAAGAATCGTCTCAAGTATTCTGACGTCGGCAATATGTTTTGACGTTGACAATATGTTCTAAGGCTATCTTTAAAAGCAGGGATGGGGAATCTGGGGACGGAACGGGGAACGCGAAAAACAGTAAAATAAACTACTATAAACTACGCACATATTTTTAATTATTATCAAGTGGAAATAAATCTTAGTTAAGCTCTGACAAGTTCGTGATCAATTGCTTTTTCTTTTGTTATACACTGCCTGAATTAGGCACAGATGTGAAAATATGCGATTCTGACTAACATTTTTATCGGACTCGTACTTGCTTAGTTTTTCTCCACTTGGCATGAAAAACTTCTCATTCAAGCCTAATCTTTCCGAATATGAAAAAAGTTTGTTCATACGCCGAGTAATTCACGTACAATAGCGTGCTGAAGTTCGATTACCTTTTTTATACACACTGTTTCACACTGTATAAATCTTGTCCACGAGCCAACGGCTCGCCGTTCTGGGAGTTGGCCTGGGGAGAGGGTACTAATTCCGCGCGGCTGTTTACACCCGGGGAGGAGAAAGGATGCATTAGTATGCATTAGTGAAGTCTAGAGTTCATCAATAATCGCGGGCTCGTGACTATCGTTCATGAATCATGGGTGTCATGGGTGGACCTCCCACCGATCTATAAAGTACTGTTGTTTATGCAGGAGTGGAATAAGCAAGATTTCAATTTTCACAAACATATATATGGAAAATCGTTTAATACAATGAGCTTTGAAGCAATTTTTGTGAAAAAATAAAGTTTACTATGCGTAAAGGCGAAATACAGGGCAAGTTTGCTCTGAATGTCTAATTGTTATCAATTGTGTTGCTTTAATTTAATGCCTAAAACATGCACTGCTGAATAGAACATTGTGAAAAGGACTTGCATATATCTGTAAATTTACCATTATAAACAACAACAACAGTTGTAGGAAGTCGCACTTCGTGGGGTATCCCAAATTGGGATAAATTAAGCGTGATAAAGGTGATTTTTAGGTGAAAAAGATCTCCCTGGTTTATTTTCGATTTCTTTTATCGCGATGTCAACAGCGTGACCAGCACGGACAGAAGCTTGCTCTATCCCCCATTATCTCCTGGAATGGATAGAAAGACTCCGGTGATTTGCCCAAAAGAACTTCTTGTCTCCCGGGGGCAAGCCTGGCTTCACGCGCTAGGGATGCTGTATTCAAGATGACAGCGTTGCCGTTTGGAAAAGTGACTGTAAAAATATCTCCATATTTATCAGCTAGTTTACTAAATGGTGTGACGCGATCTGCAGAGATGATTTGTGGAATGTTTCCAAGGAAGGGATAGGGAAATGGTCCGGGAGGCATGTTCTTTCTTTCTATGTAGGTAGTTATAAAATACCAGATGAACCAAACCAGAAACAGAGTGACAAAAACCTCGATAATCATCATGTAGCTGTAAGAAACGAGTTTGCATTTTTAATATTGTGGAAATCTGGGACAAACTAGCCGGTTAATTTTGCCTTTCCCGCCTGCGATCCTGTATGAAGGCTTTGTGGCTATATTCTTAAAAATTTGTTCCCTTCATTTGCCTGAACTTTCCTGCAATGCCCACTCTATGATTTTGTAATCTCTGCTATTGCAATGTGCAGTCAAGTTCACTAATCACTAGTACTCGTGATTGGACGTCAAACCATCGTACCACGACAAAAATGCAACAAATTAGTATCAACACGAAACGACAGTGACGTTATGTCCAAACAACTCGTGTCCCCTGCATTGCTCAAACGTGCGTTTTTAAATATATAATGGAGACCTTTAGATTTTTCTTCGACGTTAAACCGCGGTTTGCTGTCAGCCGTCCGTAGTTTGCCGTTTAATACATATTTTAAATTTTGTTTTCAATGCTTCGTAACTTTTAATTAATTTAAAATAATTTCACGTGTAGAAGCGATGGCAAATATCAATACTTTTTAGTTTTCAAGTAATTCTGCAGGGTTTTTACGGTTTTCACAGATATTCGGATATATCTAGCTGTTAAAATACCATGTCTGTGCTGTGTAACCACTGGGTATAACATACAAATATAAATAATGCAAAATGTAAAAATAGGTTCGCGACGCGTACATGTATCTGCGAAAAACCGTGATTCACATTTTGTATTTTCTTGAAAGGAACTGAATAATGAATATGACATGGGACAATTGAAATCTTTCATCACTTATTATAATATTATACTTTCCTTTTTCAATTGTGGGACTTACTGAAATCATGGATTGTAAAATAACTGGATAGGAAACTCCCTGACGTTACAGTCTAAATCTAGTTGCAATCTGCGACGTCAAGCGCATTGCCAAAGTTCTCAGCGTTTTTGTTGTTTCGCTATA